CAAGACCTGCTCCAACTACCAAAACACAGACTGATCACTGACGTTGTCACGAGGTGGAACAGTTCTTATGATATGATAGAAAGATTTTTAGAGCAGCAGCCGGCCATTTATGCAGCATTACTTTCACCAGATGTCAGAAAAAGTGAAAAAGAAATATTCACATTAAGTGAGCTTGACATCACATGTGCAGAAGATGTGATCAAAGCTCTCAAACCAATGAAGGATGCCACCTTAGTAATGTCAGAGGAGAGCATGCCAACGCTGTCCATTATTGCTCCACTTCATGCCAAGCTTGTCCAGAGCACAGAAGAAAGCTCAGATGACACACAGACTGTGAAGGACATCAAAGCAGCTATAGCACAAGATCTTGGAAAAAGATATTGTGAGAAGGCAATATTATACATGGCATCAGCTGTTGATCCAAGATTCAAGGATTTACCGTTTCTCTCTGAAGCAGAGAAGAGTGAGACCTACACCAGACTGACTGATGCYGTCATGGCTACCATAAAGGAGCAACCTAATGTAAGTAAAATAATTAATTGTACCAATACAGAAAAATGAAATATATTTATGACCATTTAGTTGTGTGCTAAATACAAATGTGCAATAGGAAGAAACATATTGTGACATTAATACTTTCTTTTTATGCTTTGATGTTTTTCAGCAGCAAGAGGAGTTAGACACTGACAGTCCAGGAAAGGAGGCGATCCCAGGGAAAGCTGATCACCCACATGCCAACAAAAGCTGCCCTCCTGCTACCACCTCAGTGCCAGTGCCACCCCTAAAAAGACCAAGATGTGCATTGGCTGACTTGCTTGGAGCTACATTTGCCTCTGCCAAAGACAGTGCTGAAATTGCACTGTCTGCACATGATGTTGCTGCTGCTGAGATCAGGGCGTTTAGAGAAGAAACTCCCCTGCCTCTTCCAGAAGATCCTCTCTGCTGGTGGAGGGAACACCAACAGGATTACCCTCAACTCTCTAAGGTAGCAAAAACTTTGCTCTGCATTCCAGGCACAAGTGTTTCTGCCGAGCGCGTTTTCTCCACCGCAGGAGACATTGTTACTGRACAGAGAAGTGTCCTGAAAACTGAGCATGTGGACAAACTTGTCTTCCTGCACAAAAACCTAGACTCTAAGCATTAACATGCAAACCAAAAGCATCTGAGAATATTTGTATTGCTGTCTTGTGTTGAGACTATTATTTTTTTATTTGTTCTTTTAGAGTCAATCTTGGCAGTATTTTCAGTTATATAAAGCTATCAATAAATTTATTTTATAGTATGATGTTTGGTGCAGAGACAGCACACTTATTTTGATGACTACAAAAGGTAGTAAAACTGGCATAAACAGAATATGAATCTAGCAGGATGTAATTTGTTACATATGGTATGTCAGTGTTTACAGATTTATTTCCTTAATGCTAAGGTTAAGAATACCACAAGCACTTTTGTTTATTGATCTATTTTATTTTCATAAGCTAAGTTAAAAGTACTAAAAGCACTTTTGTTTATTGATCTTTTTATTTTCATAAGCTAAGTTAAAAGTACTAAAAGCACTTTTGTTTATTGATTAATTTTATTTTCTTAAGTCAAGTTAAAAGTACTACAAACACCTTGGTTCATTGATATGTTTCATTTCAAGTATCTTATTTATTCCAGTTTGTTTCAGAAATCTACAGCTTAGTTTTGGGTTGTAATTGCACAAGTTAGTAATAAGAAAATGATTTTAGTTTGGTCACATGTTTTTTTTTTATTGACGTTGAATGTTGCAGGAAGACCTGTTTAGGGTGCACCCTACCTCTTGCCTAACCAGCCCTCTATGACCCTGCTAAGGAATAAGTGGTGGAAAATGAATCAATGGATGTTGTAAGAAAAAAATGTGAAATACAAATGCAGTTCTAACTATTGCTCACAGTGTTCTTTTAATTAGAGAAAAATAAACTAAATGTAATCAAATTTTATTTGTTATGTGCTCTTTCTAAGTGAAAAAAATGGAATCTGGCAAAAATAATAGCTGTGTATCGCAATATATCGCAATATATCGCCTTGCTTACAATATCGCAATATATCGCAATATATCGTATCGTGATCCCAGAGTTGTGATATGTATCGTATCGCCAAGTGCTTGCCAATACACAGCCCTAGTAACGACGCAGCTTTCCTCTCCCTCAGTCCTGCAGCTTCACAGCTTTAAACAGTCGGACGCTGAGCTTCTACAGACTTCAGTAGTGAAGCAAAGACTGCAGCGAAACGAGACGAGTCATTGGATAAATGCTGGCTTTGTCCCGCCCCCGGACGCTCAGCGTCTCTGGGGGTCTATGGAACGGGGGGGCTGGTTTGGACACCCAGATTCTTCATGATGATTGGATGATCTGTCTGAGGCTGAATCCCTTTTTGATTGACAGCGAAATGAGCGAATCAGAGATCTTTTGGTGTAAACATTCATGGGAGCAGTTTTTAGTTTTGTTTCTGTTCTGAGCTGAACCAGAGACTTTATTAATCCTGTTAGCTGCATTTTCTTTGTTAAAAACGACCAGTGACAAATCGAGTTTTCATTTCTGGTTGTTTTGTATCTGCTTGTGTTTGGAGACAGACTTCTATCACTCTTTCTGACTTTCTGTCCAGTGGGTGCTGCTGAGCCCCTCCACCGTCACAAAGCACACACCACCACTGGTTCAGGCATTTACTGTTTACTCAATGAAAACCCATGCAGTTATGATGTATTTAATGTAAAATATCTCACCTCTTCCTTTTTTAAAAAATATGAAAMGCACTTTTATTTAACTGTTCTTGTCAAGTCTAAATTCGGCACACGTAGTTTTGTAAAACATGAGTTTCATATGAGCCAATGTAATGTGCAGCTGTTTTTATTATTTGCACACATAATACAACAGTAAGAAGTGTTGTGATACTACTTTTTTAATATGTTAAAGGGTTTTACATGCCATGTTTGTGCAATAGATACAACGAAAAACATTAACAGGGACTCACAGACATGGGTAAAAGAAATTCTGTCAGTGTTATGAAAGATGATGATAATTAAATTTTCTCAGCCAGGTGAAATATGCTGTAGATCATCTCAGATTCAGACATGTTTTCCTTCATGTTTCTGGCATTTATTCATGTTACAGCTGACTGAATCATATAATTATGATGTACTGCTACTTTCAAGTAGTGTTCAAAGTGAAAAACCAGCCGGCTGTCGTCTATCCCACACTGTCTGCTGTGAGGTGACCACAGTGTGGCGAACAAGCAAACATTTCAAACTCAGCCAAAGATGCTTTAGGTGATATATGAGCACAAGGTATTGTTGCTACAAGTTAAAAAGGATTTATAGCTTTCTAAGGTTTCCAGGATGTTGATCTTTCTTTTGAACAAAAACGTGTTTTGACAACTTGAGTAGAAAAAGCAGTGGACCATGTGTGAACTCTGATAGCTCAAACTGAACTGAAAGGGTCCATAAATTACATGACAACAGGAAGGCCTCAGAGAACAATGCAGCGGTGCCCYTTACATCAATCTGGTGTCTAGTCTGAATTTGTTGCAAGCAACTTTTTAAAAACTCTTATTGTTTAATACTTAGCATTCATTTAATTCAATTAATATAGCGCCAAGTCACAACAATTGTTATCTCGGGTCTCTGTACACAAAAAACAATCAATGTAAAGAAGCAGCAGACTGTGATGAATCTTTACTTCATCACAGTCTGCACCCTTAACAGGAAGAAACGTCCAGTAGAACCAGAACCAGAACCAGGCTCAGGACAGGCGGCCTTCTGCCTCGACTGGCAATTTAATGTCTGCATCCTCTCATCCTACCCTGTTAGATAAAATTAAGCAACAGGAGGCAAATAAAGTTTTTCTCTGGACCACCAGTGGAACTAGAGGCAGCTCTCCTGATTTTACCGAGCAGCAGAGGCTAACTGTATCAGAGCAGTGGGTGACAGRTTATCTGTAGCTCGTGTGTTACTGCTGCTCAGAAACAAACAAGCAAACAAAAATGTATTTTCACCCAGAGTGTGAGGAGGACTATTCTTTTGTTTTCTCAAATTTGAATTCTGTTTGTTTTACTTGTAAAGAGAGAGGCCCTTTCTGTTAGAGCACCAGTTTTCTCCTGATTCTTGGTCAACAGTTAGGTTAGGAAGTTGTCTTTAGTTGAATTTTTCTTTGGTACGTAAGTCTAGTTGTTTAAGTAGACTTTTTGTTTGTCAAGACTTTTTACTGAAGTCAATAAAACTATTAACATGCTATAGTCTGATGTGAAAGTGATGCTCAGATTATTGTGACCTATAATTTACCTGGGACTAGGACTGTAGTAATGTGTTGAATGCTGAGACTACACAGGTAGATCTCAGCAAACTGGCAACTTCAAAAGTGGATCTTAGTTTGAAATGGTTCAGGCATTCCTGCTCTAAGGAGTCCCCACACCCTGATACACAAGGACACACACACTCTTCAGGGAGTGAACAGTCCCCTTTAACAATGCACCTTCTAATTCCCACAACCATACATAACTTGAAGTAATCCCCCTCTCCCCATTACCACCACCACCACCCCCTTTTCATCTTCTGTGTACCCTTTTTGTTGGCCCCTCATTCTACATTCTTTCTAAGCTGCTTTAATTCTCTGCTTTGAATTTAGAAACATATTCTGGAAAGATACAGTTATCAACATGGTGGTGACTGGATGGTGATGAGAACGTAATATACATTAAAATGTTGATAAAAGTGTTTTTTTGTGTGTGTGTGTGTGTGTG